CAGAAATAAAATTTGATCTTGAATTCTTTAAAACAAGATGGCTGGATATACACAATGTGAACATATTACATCATGATGCCAACAAAAAACCCAGATGAAAGCAAAACAAGCCTGTTACAAAACGACCGTGAAAAAAATTAAAGAGTGCATTGTTGCCACACGAATACTTACAAAATTTAACTAAAAATTGGTATTAAGAATAGAATAATGAGTGTTTAAACAGAAAGATGACCAACGATGCGAGATTTAAATAATTATTTTGATCTTTTCAGACACTACAGCTCGAAAAATCTGGTATTTGTGCAATAAACTTTTGATAAATACAGGGTCACCTCATGAAAACTGAACGTATCGTTGACCCAGATTTGTCGTTCAAGCTGTTGTTACGTGACATAAATCATAAGCTTAGAGCTTCCAGCGAAGTAATATTCATCATCTTGAGTAACCCATTTTTTTCGCACAAAGATTTCTGACGCAATCAATCAAATTACCTTGAGACATATTTTGGAATTAGTTTTTCCCTACTCTGACTGTTATCCGTTAAACTAATGCAGTTGTCAAAACTTTCTTGTATCAATACCAGATTGTTTTACGTGGCAGAGACTAAGGAGATTAGAAGAATTGTTGACATCTCGCAGTGTTTGTCTACATTTTGTTCTTACGAATTGAATAAGGGAACTCAATACTTCAAGCTTTTAGCGAATGTTTATTTTTGTTCAGCAAAAGAAAAGACATAATGGCATTTCAGGAAGATGTACAGCTACATGGTTGTTCGTGGCCAGTTTTCTTACTGCATCACCGAAACAGCTCATCCGCAGTCAACGGACACCGTCAATGAAATGTTGCCAGGGGATCAACAGAACAGAGGATAGATAAAATAATAGTGCCTTTTAGGCACTCAAAGTATTGTAGCAGTTCACAGTGAGTAAATTGTCTCTAGACATAAAATTTACGAGGCGAATAAATGGGAAATTATAATTCTCAATTTACCGAAGAGCGACATAGCATGGTCAATTCCTACATTTTTCCAGATTTCCCCCATTTTGTACAAATCTGCGGTTGTAGAAACCTATTTGATCGGGCTAAAAACATTTTTCTCCAGATACATGGAAGGAAAAAGAGGAATTCTCGAGGAGAACATAACTAAAAATGGCTACCCAGAAAAGTTTGTAGTTATTCACAGCAGATCATTCCCAAAAGGTAAATCTACCAAAAAAATTAGCAAGAAGAGCGTCTTTCGTTCAAAGGTGACTACATTTACTTTGATGTGTGCATTAAGTTGGGGTTAGCTCTAGACCGTACATTCCCAGCTACTCAACTCATATTCATTGCATCTACTCATGGAATTGGTGTGGACAAAGGTAAACATGGCTGTCAGACTGATTCCATTTAACACACTGTATAGAAGTTTACCTGAAGTGGAGGTGATACATACATGGGCGGAAGAAACCGTCAGCTCTCACAAAGGATGGCCAAACATATTCCAAAGAGTTTGATGAAATCAATGACGCAACTGATAATTGATGGTCAAGGGATCACAAGACTTCCAGGGTCATTTGATACAAAGCGTATCATAGCAATAAGACATGCAATCGACCCTAATTTTATTGCTAAACGTTTGGAAGTTATTGAAGCGTTCTTTATTCGATTACATCATCCGATTTTATGCACATAAATGTTGTAGATACACTTAGTCCACTTACCGTGGAGTTGACCTTTTACTTCTATGTTTCTATATTTGGTAATCTTTATATGCCCGTACACGTTCGTTCACGATAATTAAACAACCTCATGTTCTACAAATGTCCGTGCGTTTCAAGTCAGCAATTGAGGAGATTAAACGAAATGATAGCACCCCGCAAAAATTTGTCTTCTTTCTGTATTGATGAAGCGGATAAAGGAAACTCAATACCTTGGAGTAAATTACGTATCATTCCGTAAGTCATTTTTGGTTCTGAAATAAATAGTATACAGATGACATGAAGAAAACTGTGCGATTATTTCCCTGTAAGGGGACATGATGGCAGCACTTTCCCCCTGTTGTCTAAGAGTTATCTATTTTGGTGCACATACCATGCACCGCGACTATCCACCCAAATCTACCAAGGAGAGTCTCTGGGTGCCCTTTGAACGTCTACCTCGGGTAATTACAAGTGTTAACCTTCTCCTAAAGTTCTTACCCCATAAAAGGTTGGACGCGAGTGTCAGTATGTGTACTCAGTCATGGCAGTAATCGAATTGCTAATCATCGAACGCATTAGTGTTAAGGTAACTTGTGGTAATAACTGTTTATAATTATAAACTAACTAACTATAGTTATCTTAGATAGCGAGAGTGTGGACTCTCTTGAATAAGGGAAATCTGTCATAATTTTTGGTATTCTTACGAGTGATGCATTTTACACCAACACAATGTAGATATGTGACCTTATTTTTCACCGTTGCAACCAGCACTATACAGGATGTTTCGAGTTTGGCTTTTTTGTTCTTTTAGTATTCAGCGAAAAGCTATGTGAATTCAGAATAAAATGTTCATATACCATATATCACACTTGAAGTCGAGGCAGTTATTCATTATCACGCATATCTGCAATTTGAAGTTTTTGAATCCGATTTCATCTGTATGTGAAAATGAGAAAAGTTTCTAGCGATTCAAGCTCTGTTGCGTTGCGTGTGATCACATTTTGAATGAGAAAGGGAAAGTTACGTATCTGGGCGAAAGTAGAAAATCCGTGGTGGAGATCCTTCTTTTTGAAGGAAACTTTTAACATTAAATACGAGAAAATGGAGACATTGTTACAGACACGTACAACCGGTGCATTTTTAAGTAGCTGAAGGCAGCGAAATGTCCTCAGATTCAAATTGGTGGTTATTGGCAGATCGGTGGACTTATTCTAAAGCTTCCCAATCAAGTTACCCTTTGAAATTAAGGGGATCAGCCTGAGGTGAAGATTAATGATGTACTCTTGGTAATACGCCAGTAGCACGATTATCCCCTTGGGCGCACCAAAAGAGAGGGATCCCTCTCAGTTCCATGCAAGATTGCGTTCCCTATCCAAATGCAGATCTCAGAGTGGTAGGACTCTGTATATTACAGCTAGGATATACCAATGGGAGTATAAATCCATATAGAATCACTGATCGGTGACTCTCAACTATCACCAAATTATTTCGATGGGTGTAACAAAAGTATACTCCTGACTATACTCTCACCGGTGCAAATGGGTGAATACATTCACCCACGTTTATAAAAATGCTTACTGCATTATGCATTTGTA